TAGCCACGCTGCTTGGCATAGGCCTGGTCTGAAGAATGATCTCCTAATTAGGACCTCCCCACCCCCCTGACTATAGATACTCCCCAGATTACATAACTGCAGAATGTTGCGGATATATGCTCTTAAATTAGGGGTTACGGGTCATTCTTACAGGAAAGGAATGTTGATGGATCTTTGGGTTGAGATTGTGGATCAAAAAACTATGACGAAATCATGCACTACAAATACTATTACTTCTAGTGCCATAGAGGATACGCGCATCACTAGTGCGTCCAGTGTGTGGAATTACACTATGCAGCAACAAGATCCCAATACCTCCCGTAGATCTTTGAGGCACACAAAGTTTCAGCTGCAAGGTCTTGGACCGCATTGACTACCAATACGCCCTAGCCGCCCTCCCCAAGACGTGAAGCTCAACTGCAACACCATTCCCACCCATTTCACGGCTTTGGAGACGAGCCAAAATCACAACCCAGGCATCAGGAGCCCAAACACACACACACACATACACATTTTTCTTCTATCTACTGAATGCAAAGGCCTAACACGACTCGAGTAAGGATTTGGGTTATGTTGAAATGTAGTCACGCGGCAAGTCAAAAAGGCTGTATGGGAATAATGCCAATAATTATTCAAGCTGGCACGGTAGGCTTGCCTAAGTTTTGTGCCTCAAGGTAGCGCTCCTTGCGTCCGCCAGGTAGTGAACCGCAGCCCGGCAAGTAGAGCAGGGACGGGGGTCTCCTTTGGCTGCAACTACAGTACCCCTTAAGAAGATGGAATATGGAGTATATCGGGATCTTATTATAACGTACCCAAAGCCATATTCTATCTACTTAAGGGGGAGGTAACAGGGGCCTCTTGAAGGTATGGATTAAGTGTGGACAATCAAAAAAAGGCATAGATGCCATATTGCATGCTTATTACAGACTCAACTAACCCACTGGCCTTGCAAGTGCGATCCACTTGCAAATTCGAAGCAGGTGTTACAACATCATCATCATCATCGTCACCATCATCGTCATCATACCTATACTCCCACATCAAAGCCTGAGAGCTGGTGCACGTCGGGAGATTGCAGGGCTTGAGGATTCATGGTGAATTCTGACATTTCCAGGCTTTCCCACATTATCCATACTGGAGACCTATAGGAAAGATCGAGAACGAATCCCCATGTAAACCTTACCGCAGCTCATGCAGCCTACTCTTTCGACGCAATTTCCCAAAGCAGACGGATTCTTATTGCAAGGGCCAGGCTTTCCCGAAAGTGTGCATACCTGCTCCATCCCGTAGATCATCCCAAAGGACTCACGTAGGTTAGGGTTTACGGCTTTGGTTTAGGGTGTAGGATTTAGGCGTCCATAAGAATGAGGGGGTCTCTTGTTGGAAGCTCTTACGATGAGGGTTGCAATATGTTTGGATATGCTAAGGGGTGCCCCAATAACCAATGTTTGGAAATACCTGTTGAATCCTGCAAAGCAACGTGTTGTTAGTTCCTGAAAACCCACAGGCCTTGGTAGAACCATGCTGGGCTCATCCATTAGGCCGCCGCGCGCAGCCAAAGCATATTATGTCCACTCAGCACACTGTCTGTCCGCTTTGGGGTGCCTATTTGACATTTTTTTGGGGGGGGCTGTATAGTAAGGGTATGTGTATTTGTATCTCGAGGAAAGGCCATGAAGGTGACAAGTGTGCCCAGGGGGCCTTAAGGTTGAGTGGCTGCTCTGTATGCAGTCTGCCCATGACCTTTTTACCATTCTTGCCAAATGTATTGAACGGTTTTGTCGAAGTGTGGTCATAGCTCGCATGGGCTCCATGTTCGATTGCAGCTGCTCTAGGATGAGGATTCGCAAGTGCTGCAAGCGCAGCCGGCGAACCGGACTAAAGAGAGCTGGAAGCCGGCATTGCCAGAAATAGTAATCATTGCAGCTGGTAGCTTAGTAGTACGTAGTACTAGCAGCAGCACAGCAGCAGCATATACGTATTACTGCTGCTACTTCTTTTGGTGGTCGTCCTTCTAGAGGTCATTAGAACAATAACGGTGACAACCATGGAGTAGTTGGCTGGGGCCAACGGCAAACTTCCTGGCAGCCCTAGCGCACTGGACACGGCAGCTAGGTACTCAATCTCATCATTAGGGCATGCCCGACATAGATCGCAGCATTCCCCATTCAGACTAGAAAGGACCATATTACCTGGCTCTAACCTAAGTGTTCGCCTGCCCTATCCACACATCCCTGCATTTAACCCCTACCCAGCCCTAAACCCTAACTCAGGTGCTCTCCTACCTATGGTCCCCCTTAAGTACATAGAATCTGGCTTTGGGTATATTCTATCTACTTAAGGGGGACCATAGATGCAAAACATGGCGGAGGCTACCACTGCGTTGCGGCTTTCCTCGATGCCGTCCCGCCACTCGGCTGGGGGACCCCCTCGCAGGCTGAACCGTTTACTTGGGGGCCGAGAGGACTTACCAAGCAGATTCGAAACCCCCATAATGCAATATAATAATCCCAGTAATCCCCTTATCAACCCAGCTACGAGACCCCAATGACCCTCCAAGCAGGGATTACGTTTCAAGACTTAAGGTTTATAGTGTTCAGGGTGTAGCACATGCAGTTCAGAGTTTAGGGCTTAGGGCTCGACAGGTTAAGAACTGGCAGGTTTTGAGGTTCTGTGGAGTCGTACCCTGAGGGTCCAAGGACCAAAATGATAGGGTTTTAGGGCCCAAGTACTGTTCATATCATCGTAAAACACCTATTATTTGGGTCCTTGAATCCTGGGGGGCAGTGATCAGTGCAGCTTTTTGTATAGCTGCAACTACAACTCAGGTATTTGTAGCCCATCTTATAACTCTACCCGGAACTCTACCGATGGACCGCCCGGTAGGAGTCTGGAAAGCTCCGCTTGTCTTTTAAGGTTTTCGCCAAACTGCCAGGTCCGCTTTTGTTTGGGGTGGGCTCTTATCATAGGAACTACTCATGATTTCGAGATACAAATCGGCACCCTCGCGTTTGAAAACTCCCAGATAGGGTCCGGTCTGGGCAAAATCCGAAACATAAAGTTCAACAGTACAGTTGATACAGAAACGCATTGAAGGACCCAGGCGAGAAACCAGGCATTCGGCTAGCTTGCTGCCCGCATCTCAAAATCAGCTTTCATGTGTAGTGCTAAGATCTTTGCGATTTGCAAGGTCTGGGGTTCACAACAACTAAAGTCATGCTCTAGAAAATTTGCTACTTACTGATGCTTGAGGTGGACCAGTGGAGCGGCAAAGTTCTTCTAGTGAAGGACTATCGGAGAGTACGTGGTTATAGGAACCCACTCCCCAGCAAGTGTTTGGGAGGCGCCTACCGTGCCTTCGATCCCCTCGAAGGGGACGGTGCCCCAGTCCGGAATCGGCCTGAGCACGGAAGGAAGCCGTGAGGAGCAACGCACAAGCCCTCCAAATCGACGACTTCTTGCCAAATTCTGAATATGTTTGGGTTAAAGCCCGTTATACTGAATTTACTGAACGCTTTGGGGTAGGATGGGCTGAGACTCTAGAGTTTGAAGCCTAGAGATAACGTGGAATAATCTTGGGGAGGAGGGCATCAAGGTAGAGAAGGAAGGGATACTGACTCGTTTTCTTGCAGGCTGCGGTTTGTAACAATGGTGCCCCTCGTTCATGCTTACCACAGCTCGCACGTGGCAGGCGGAGGGATACACATAGACTACAGCTGATTTCCTTTGTTGCTTCTCACGAGCATTCGTGCCACATGTGAACGTTCTGACAGGATCCTCGAAATTACGCCTCCCACCGAGCATCTCTTGCAAAATCCCAGAACGAAGCTCAAGTCAACTAGTTCCAATGCTGAGATTACGGCGTGGGCAGAAACGGCACCAGAGCCCTCTCGCGACTTGCGGGGTCCTAGCTGCAGGGGGGAGGTTGTTGGGAAAAGGCTTGAAGGGAATATGAATATAATCCCTAGATACTACGTTGCCTATTCTTACCCCTACATAGTCCCTATCTAAACCTTTCACGGTTCGTTTCGTGGGCAGGGGGGTTGAACTGGATGCTTCGGGAGCTTCTAGCATTCTGGCGGGAGGCTCGGTCCGGTGCGACTGCCGGATCGTCCTAGCTGATGCTTCATACGGTATAAAGGTTTTGGGTTTAGGATTTAGACACACCGGCTGAGCATGCAGTAGGGCTCGAAAATGAGGCATAAGTCTATCCTTGCTCCTCAAGCAGGAAGAAGTGCTGAGCAACTTGCACGGACATTGTCAGCACCACCTCTTTAAACACAGGATCCTGCAAGGAAACGCGAAGGATGACAAACATGCTAACCACGGACCTGAAGATACTGAAGTATGGAAGCCGTGAAATCATCTTTTGACAGTGTTGCTTTCGGAAAGCCCCCAGATGAGCTATAGTCTTAACTCCTAGTCCCCCTCGGTAACCCCTATAAGACTCCCCTATAATACTTCCATATATACTCCCCTATATAACGCCCTTTAAGGAGTTTAGACTATAGCTCAGATGGTCCTGACTTCCCCCCAAAGGCAAGCCGATGTTAAGACCAAATTTCCCCTAAGATCCTGACAATAATCGCCTCCCCCTAGTATTAAACCCTTCTGTACTCCCTAACCTTAAACATCCCCAGTATATTTTATGTATATATATATATCTACCTATCTATCTATCTATCTGTCTATCCATTATAGTATACCACAATCACAATAAATCACGACTTACTGTAACATCAGAGGGGTTGAGTTTTTTTTTATGCTAAAGGGAAGAGATTCATCAACAAGCCTATCTTCAGACCCAGAAGTTCCCTAAGTTTCAAAAATCATGAAAGCTGAATGAACCTCGGCTAACAAGAGGGTGTGGGTTACCCGAACCCTGCCTGCATAAAAGGACCCTGTGACTATCAAATGACTCTTACAGGAGGGTCCTTAGTTTACAGGTTGGGTAACCAAACCTTCCTGATTATCAGCCCAGCGCAATTGCATCGCAAAGCCTTGAAGATGTAGTCAGCGATTGCTCGCTTGCAGGCCCGCATGTACCTGTGAAGTTCGAAAGTTAAAACTAAGGGCAGGCCAACTTCATAGTGCAAAGTGGTTCCTATGGAAGCATAGGCAGCATAGGTTCTAAGCTCCCCGGTCGATACCCCTCATGTGTTCTGCGAAAGTGGTCTTTTTGTTGACCCGAAATGTTATGCTTTCTCAGTGCAGTTTGTAAACAGGCTGATCATACAGTTGTGGTCCCTCCTGCAGAACCCAATCGTAGCAACCACGCAAGCTTAGGTCAACCCTTCACTCATCATCAGATCTTACTCTCCATCCTGTCGCATGGGCTTTGCATGTGCTCAGCTGTGTAAACCTATACCCAGGATCTGAAAATGTTATCTGAAACCTATGCTCAGGATCTGAATAATATCATGAAGTGATTTCAGAAATGTCTGTTCCGTATGGGTACACGGGAGCCATACAGCACTCATCTTTGGGCTTGAGGCAAGGCACCTCCCACATGGTAACACCAAAGGCGCACCCAGCTTTCATTTCGTCCGTGACATCCATCATAATCCGCCTGGTCACCTGGAGATGAAAGGGAACAAGAACATCATCTGCTCTCCGCAAGAGCAACCCCCAGCGTCCACAAAAGCAAAACGCATATACAGGACCAGCTGCTTGTCGAAGGGCACAAATTGAGGGTTGCAAGCACAAGCGCCGCCATGGGCCCTCAAAAACTTACACCTACTCAGAAGACTTAGAAGGCAGGACGGATGCAAGTGCCAACAAAAAAAAGAGCAGCAACATGTATGCATTGTCACCGCCATTGAAGAGGCCACATCTGGATACCCAGAATTAAAGAAAGGGGTGTATAAGCCTGTGAGCGGCGATTTTACATGAAGCCCTGGATCCAGCAGCTGAAGTAGTCGGCCCTCAAGATCACCCGAGAGCTGACCACCAGCCCAACCTCTTAAATCAACGAAATGATCCAGCTGCCATGCGTGCCTTTGTATTGCGTCTTTGTGCTTTGCAGGTGCCCAAGGGGGGAACAAGTGCAGCGTCACAGGCCGCTCGTCGACAAGACCATGCTGCGCCAAGGTTTTAGTTGGTATCAGATAGAGCCCCTCCAAACGACATTCACCATCCAAAAGAGAGATGATGAGCAGGTCAAAATCGGCCGAAGTGTACGCGCGGTGTCCCACTCTGCCCCCTGACCTTCTGAGATTTACCTTGTAGTCGCTTCTTCCGCGTCTTTGACGTGTCGCTTTCTCTTGCACGTCATATGCACAGCCGTGCCCACATAGCGTTGAATCGACAACGCCGCCATGAGCGCATGGCTGCAACCAGAAGCCTACCTGACTCAATACAGCTTGCTTCTGCCTACGCGCCTGTTCTTCCACAACATGTCCTACGCTGCACTGGAGCCTCGCATCTTCCAGCGTTAGATGAAGATACTCACTGCTTTGGTAAAAGCAATATTCTAAGAGTGAGGCCAGACAGCTGACTCGAAACTGGAACTCCTTTGAGGTGTTCAGCGTCAACCCGATACTGTCCCGATCAACTCGACTTCCAACCATGGCCCAGATTATGTCACGGTCCAAGGCAACCAAAAGCAAAAGCATTCCGGCATATCCGTGTATATTCTTAAATTGGTAGTAGTGACCCTTATCTCCGCGGCCACTTCTTGATTTGAGTTGAATCGGCAAGCCCTTCGGTGAGCCATTTTTCAGAAACATGGCATCTATTCTAGAAGAGGAGGAGACCCGCACGATCTCAAATTCCGATGATGTCGCAGACCCCTTGAACCGCGCCATCACCTGACTGAATGCCTTTGTCTCCTTCGCTTCATTATCACCGAACATTTGCAAATTGCGCGCCCGCCTGTCTTCAGGGGATTCTGCAAAGGCAAGTTCTTCAGCAGACGGAAAATTCAGAGACTGCTTCAAGCGATGTCCATCTTTGCACAACTCGCGCAACTTCGTGTCATATGCAAGACCAGCCTGCTCCTCGCAAGCAAAGCGCCCACAAAGATGTGCTTTACCCGCCAAGGACACCCTTGCGTCATATGCCTGTGAGGCCCCGTGCCAATACACACCGTTGAACCTGCTGGTTGCAAAGCCACGGTCTGATTCCTTGCCCTCGTTGCGAGAAAAGACATCACATCTGGAGAACAAGTAAGAGCATGGGCTGCAAGGTGTACCCGTAAAGCGTACGCGCGGCCCAGTGCGTAGCATACATGCAGTGTTTTGCAGAAGGGGATTTGTCCAAAAAGACTGGAACCGAAAAAGCTGCGTGCGAGTACCAGGCAAAGCCCATAATCACCAGTGCATGAATCAGAGAGCTGGGCAAGCGCTAAGATATGTGATCTATGATCCTGGTGTTCGTAGATTGAAGCCCCGCTTTGTTCAAAGCCCTGGCGATGTAGAGCCCCCTGGAATCATAGACACTAGCTGCTCCGAACACAAAAGGAACCTGAAGAAAGGTCCAATGCATGGTTCCATGATGCTGCTCCACACGAGTCTCCGCATCCTGTAATGTCCTAGCATATTCTGCGAGATGCAAGCAAGCTCCACAAGCTGAAGTTCAACCTGGAACTGCCGCACCCTATCCTTGTAACTCTAATCACAAATGATGCCTGAGACCCTCCAAACGTTTTGAGTCACAATGGCCTCCATAGGCAGATCCTTGAAGAGGCGTTCGGCTTCAACTAAATAACCTGCCATCACTTCTCAGCATTCAGGTCATAGGCTTGACATTCGATAGACGTTGGTCGTCTTTCCTTCAGACGGGCTTCTCGCAATTATTTGAAAGCACAAAAGCTTCGGCGCTTATTGCGATAGGGTTTGGGGGTATATTCCTCTCGAGTTGGACTTAAGATTGCAAGGGGATAATCAGTCGGGCTTCGTTTGGTTATACCTACGGTTCGCTTATTGCCTGAGCCTTTTACGTTGTGACTTCCTCCATGTCTACTATAGACTTTGCCAGCACGCCCCCTCGGTTTTAAGGGGTATTGTGGTGATACATGGCTATATGATAGTTTCACGCAATAGGGGGACCCCAATAAAGGCCCCAAAGCACTATAATCCTTATTATGGGTGGTCCCCCACAAATGTACGCCTAATTTTTGGAGACCTCCCCATATAAGGGTCATCTAGAGGTGATGCAGGGCTTAGGGTTTTCGGAGACGACGACACTCTGCAATTCACAAGCTTTGTAGCTGGGGCATACTTGCATTCCATGTTGCAACAACATCTTACTGGTTGTTAGTGGAGAATACGGCAACATATAATGTGGGGATCATATAGGGGATATATTCCCTGATTCCCTACTAAGAACCAGTAAGACATTGCTGGGCAGCAAGTCCGATCATCCCATTTGGCCGCATTCTCAAGCCCTGAACACCTGCACGTAAGCTGAAACCTAAACCAGACCTCCCTGCCTCCAACCAACTTTGACTTTCTACTGCCCCTCAAGCCTACATGACTACGTGGCACTTAGGACCCTTACTAAGGGTTAACCCTTGGGTACCTATACTAGGAGTAAAAGGGAATCCCAAAGGGTTAAGGGTTTAAGGCCAAGCTAAGTCCCAAGGAGTTGAGTCATCTCAGCGTGCCTACATTTTCCACCCACTCGGGGTTGATTGGCGCCACGGCGCTGTTCGCCACGCCATCTTCCTGGTCTGCATGCAGGAGAAAAACAGAACAGAGGCATGAACAGTGTTGAACAGTGTCTGTTCAGTTGCGTTGCGTGATACTGATTTGCTCCTTCGCATATAGTGGGTTGCGGGGTTTGCACGGGCCTGAATGCCCCTGGCTCAGTCATTGTATTCCTGTTGCATGTACGTACTGTGAGCAACTGGATTGATGGGCTTTTCTAGCAGCACCCCTGTTCCAGAGGCTCCGGCAGATCAAGACTGCAGAGGGTCGCAAAGTAGGACTTCTGTGGAATGTCGGGCCCCGAAACCATCAGGGCTCCGAAGTAGTGCTCCAACTGACTATGGGTATGTCTTGATATTGGCTTTCTTTTTAATTGCTTGCTATCCCCGCTCAACAAGTAAACAGTTTCCCTGTGTGTAGGTGCTGTATCAGCGCGCTTCCAACAAATCTGATGAGGTGTGCTAATGCCATTACAAGAATTTGCCTTTGGGCAACTGTCGGGGCTTGTGCTGGGCCTCGCGGAATGATGTTTATGTTCAGCTTGTTGGTCAGTTTTTCTTCGGAGTGGAGGGGTGGGTTCTCATAATACAGGAGACATACATGCGATAGAGGAGCATGCACAAGTAAAGGTTTTGTTCCGTTGCTTTCTGCGGTTTCCTTGCTGGCATGGAAAGCGTTATGTTATCGGTTATGGAAAGGGCACCCTAATTTGTCCGAGACCCAGATGGTGGGCATGGGGATTTTGGGGAGTGTGGTGGAGTTTAAAAAGGATTGCACAGGGACTAGGGATGATGCGATGCAGGCCCTCGTGTCTTTTCTTTACACACAAACTGTGGTTTGCTACGTGTAGCGTAGGGCATAACCACATGGAGCTTACCACTCCATGTTTCACACGGGAAGGCTCGACACCTTGCTGACAGCCTGCAGTCTACACATGATGTAGCATTGGGTGGAGGAATCAACTGAGGAAGTGGCAATGTAGCTGTTGTATCGCAGCAGCGTGCCATAGAACACACGCCTGTCGAACAAGGAAGCTCCATATGTAGGAGTTTCTCAAACTTTTCTGTCCCTATAGAACTAGAGAAGGCTCAGTAAGGACTCCCCAAACACTTTTCTATAATCCAAATACATGTACAGGGGCCCTAAAGGACTCCTCAATTCGAGAAACCTCCAAATCGATTCTTCTTCAATTGTGCAGGGTAAGCCCGCTGTGCAAAAACTCAATCGAATAGATATGTAGAGGCTACTATGAGTATGTCATAAGGCCTATAGGGTCTGCGATTGGCATCTGTTCCTCCATTCCCTAGAAACCACAAGCTCCATACCGCAAGTGGGAAGATGCTTTTCATCAGTGTTGAGTTCAGTTGCTGAAAGAGAAATGTTTGGTTTTATTTGGTCTTGGAGTGGCGAAGGTGTGAAGCTGAAGACCCGCGTCAAAAAATCAGTAAGGGACGGACTTCATTGAGGCAATCATTGTTTTCTGCACTGAGCAACTCTAACACTAAAACCCAGCTCATTGTCCACAATTCTGCATAAAAATATCGCCTTCCGGCGTTTCAGCCCATCCTCCTCCCTCGCACGCTATCTTACCTATGGACAACACATGCGCCAGCAGTGTGTGCAAAAAAGTAGCCCTGAAGGATCAGAGGATCCGGCCCAGGAGGACCCCCAGCCGTGGGCAACAATTTCAGCGAAACATGGCCAAGCCCACTTCAATTCAGTTGCCTGCTCACCCTTGCAGGGATGCTGCAACGAATACAATGACCACAATTAGTACTTTAGGTTCCTTCAACCCATCAGGGTATTATAAGAGCCTGTGACAGCACAAATCCTAAAAAGCCCTTAGCCCATGGGGTAGTTCGCATCCTATGACACCTACTCCAAGACAGTCTTTCCCTCAAACTCTAAACCTTTAACCCTAAATTGTAAGCCTTACTCCGTGAACCCTAAACCCCGTAACCCGAAACCCTAGACCCTAAACCCAGAAATCCTGGACCTTGGACCCTGAACCCCAAGGTCCCGCGCACTACCCAAACCCTCCTACGTAGTTTCTTCTTGGGTAGTATATTGTAACCCCT